CTCCTCCTCTTCCTCCTCTCCTTTCTCCTCCTCCTCCTCCTCCTCCTCTTGCCCTTCCTGTCCACAATTGTCATTTGCTCCTTTTACCAGTAGCGCTTTCTTCTCGTGACAGCTGTTTATTTTGTTGAATCGTTTCTCTGAACCGCGCTGCATCGGCTGCCCAATGCATGACTCTTTGTCTCCTAGGCCGCAGCGTAAGTTCCGCAAAAGTTGCTCTCCACGAAGCCGTACTTCCGTGACCGGAAGCCTAGGCGGCGGAGGTACAGCAGTTTCCCTGGCCACGACTGCCTCGTGAGTGAGCTGGCCGAGGGGCGTCTGTTGCCAGGCGACCGATTGTGAGCTGACCTCGTGTCTGGAGCCAAAGCATGCGGTTGCTGGGCTTGCCGCTTCGTCACCCTGGCTACCCGGAGGCCAGGCTGAGGCTTTCAGGGTGAACGGCCGAGGCTTTGACCCAGCTCCCAGCATCCAGATTCGTTTCCAGGCGATCAGGTGGACGGGCGGAAATGGCTTTGACGGCAGTCGATGCTTCTGTTGCTGGCGCAGTTGGGTGTGTGTAGAAGAGAGCGGTGGAAATGGCGGCTGTTTGTGGTGGTGGTGATAATGATGATGACGAGGATGACTGCGGTGGTGATGGTCACGACGATGGCGACGATGGCGACGGTTTTGTTGCAGCTGTTGTTGTTGTTGTTCTTGCTGTCGATGGTATTGTTGTGACGGCCGCTGTTCGTAAGGGGCGATACTGTAGGAGGACAAGTCAAGAGAGTGTTGTCGTTTGAATTGTTGGTGGCCGGGAAACGATTTGGCTTGAGATTCCGTGACCCGGTGTAAACGGCGAGTTGGCGCCAACCGCTCGGAGACAGCGTCCAGGTAGAAGATGCGCACCGGCCCTCCAAGCATGGGAAAGTGAAGGATCAGCGTCTGCAAGAGCTGCAAGTTGGTGCAAAACCAAAAAAAGAGAGTATTTAGTGAGGCTGCCAGAGCAGCCAATTATCCTGATCTATTATCCTCATCATTGTACTGAGGAATTTTGTCAACCGCGTTGGCAACCACAGTGAGAAAGGGTTTTGCGCGATGTCCAGATTGGCTAGTTTCGACTTTGTTTAGATTGGACAACCGGCGAGTCTGTCCACCAGGGATTGATGGAACTGCCTCTTTGCTTTAATATTTCACTTCAGCACGCAGCTAACAAGTCGTTCTCAATCCTTCACATAACGGTCGCATCACCAGCTCCAGGGGGACTCGAACCCTGAAAGTACAGATTCAAAGAGAAACTCGAGTCTAGGCACACTATGGTACCTGACAATCCTGGCGTTCAGAGCGAACCAAGTCTGTGGGTATACGCACTCTTTTGCAGGAAACAGTGCTCCTACCATTAAATTGCACATACTACTTATATATAGTTAGTAGTTCTAATTGCTTTGAGGCTACTGGATGGGTGATTGCTATCGAGGGAAAAATAGTTTGCATTCAGATAGCTTCGACAAACAGACCCTTTATGCAGACTCAACGTCAGAAAGTCAAGTAGAACAAGTGGCCAAAGTGCAGCTAATTTCGTAAATGCCCATAAAAAAGCGTGCAAAGGCTGATTTATTGGTCTTGAGAACATTCTGGCCTCAACAACCTAAACCGATAGTTGCCGCTTTACTGTGGAAAAAAGTTCAAGGCTTAATTAGCAACGTGGGAGAATATGAGATAGTGCAGCTGTTTACGAAAAGTCCTTGATAGCCCTTCGTATTTCATAAGTATTGTGCGATCCAATTGTCCTTTGACAGCCTGGAAGTCTTCTGAGCCTAAATGGCAGTTGAAAGTATTGCGGTGACTCATCTCAAGTCTTTCTCATAATGCAGTAAAGTTCCGTTACAAGACTTTGAAGTTGTTTTCCAACTCTTTCTCATATCGAAGTTGTTTGACCTAGTTTTCGCAACTTGGTCATATTGGTAGGAAGACTTAGAGGAATGCATTTAGTCTGGAGTCCATTGTATGCATAATCATTTCGAAACTCGGACCGTGGACGTGGTACATTCCCAGACGTTTTGCCGGCATCGTCAGTGAGTCTTGCCATTCTTAGCACCATACTACAACTCGTCGAAGAGACAAGTTGCGAAAACAAAATCAAACAACTTCTACACAACGAAAGTAGATTGCGACCACACGAAAGGTCACACCATCTTGGTCTTCATATCTTTCTCATATCTTTCACAGACTACTTATCCAGATTTGTAGACCAATTGCATTCTCCCATTGGCTCTTCCGGATTGACCAATCATATCAAAACAGTCTATGAATCAGGAACCAATCAGAAACTGACGAATTATGCATTAATAGTTCGTAATGTTGTGTCGTTTGAAAGTGCAAGGCAATGAAACTGACTCATAAGTCGATCTCACTGGGAGACGACTGATTCCCGTTGATTTACAGTCGTTTGATTCTAATTCGACCTTTACTTTAACCCAGTCCAAGAGACGACCTCCTTTATTTCGAGGCAAAATGGAGCTGGAATTCATTCTTGTAAAGACATC